AAAAAAAAAAATTTGATGTTTTTTTATAGAGTATTCCCGAAAAAAAGCTGATTTACTCCTGCACAAACTTTCTACAAGGTTTTACATTTTGAAACATTATTCATAAGTAATTCTGCTAATGAGGTCTGAGAAAGAAGTAGCAAGAAAAAAATAGATGAAAAAATAAAAGGCTCTGACGTAAAACAGATTTATTTCCCACAAGAAACACCCACCAACCAAAAATGATCCAAACCCTACGGTCAGTTTTTTACGGTTCAATTAACACGAGCAGAATTGTGCAAAGAAAATGCCACTAGGAAGTCTTTCAAGCGACATGAACTTCAAATTACATTGACGTTCAGAAGACAACCAATGAAAAAAAAAGTTCCCTAAACGTTTCCAAAATGTTAGCTTTTCCGAATTCTTTGAACAGTTTTACGTTCCAAAATAAATTTATTTTTTTTTAAACAAAATAACTCAAATCACCGCTTCTTCAACCTGATACCAAAGACAGCTGACGGTGTTACACCAAATAAAGTAAAAAATTATAAGTAAGCTCAACAAACACTAATTTGGACACCGTTTTGAATAAGTTATTCAGATTCAAGTTCCAAAAGATCAAGTGCAGAAAACACGCTGCACAAATTGAAATTTATAAACCGACCTGTTATACGACGCATAAGCAGCAGGGCTACTTCAACTAAGCTCAGTAAAGAATACTCAGTCCAATTTTTCACTATATAAAAATTGTGCTTTTGGATACATAACCGCTTACTTTATCGCAAGCGATAATTAATAGTGTTAAATTCTTACTCTTCAAATTTTATTTGAAAGTCTGACGGCATTAGATGATGTGACACTTAAAATAAATGTAAAAAACTTCCAAAACATGACTTTTTATTCAAATGCAGAATGCGGACATAAATGAAGACATTATGTGACACAAGGAGAGCAAGACCAATATAACGCAAAAAATACCAACGTGTTATCCAAAGCAAGAAAAGTATGCACCCCAACACAGAACAATAAAACAATTAACTGAAAGCAGAAAATTCAAAACTGATACACTAGCAGCAAAATAAGAATAACCAGTAAGAAATTAATTTGAAAACTACTGGATAAACACAAGTATAGACTTAATCAATGACTGCTTGATCCAAAGAACAGCTGACTGAATTAGCAGTTCTGCTACACGGAACGCAGAAAAGTGATTTAAAGCCTTTTGAAATTAGCTAGCCGGCGCCACTTCTTTGTCTACCGAACTCCAACTCTGACTGTCCGTTATACAAAATGCGAACATCTGGTCACAACTTCTTACAAAGTCCAGATGTGAAGTTTGCCAATTTGCATAATCAGACCTACGTTTTTCAAGCTAAATCTGACTGACAGACAAAACTGCCCACGCCTGTACTCAAGAGAGGGAATGCTGCACGTAGGCAATACGCTTCTTTGAGAAACAAAATCTTACTTGAAAGCAACAACTGGAAAGCTCGTTCCAAAAAATAATCGTCGTAATAGTCACTTTCTGACGTTTTTGGCGCGAAGAATGAGTACCGACTCTATAGAATTTGGCTACCTATTAGCCGAGAAGTCTAGCACCTGAATTCAGAATTAGTCAACATCTCGAAACTCATTGTCTAACAGAGAATGCTACATCAACCAGAAGAGATGCTGATGAGGCGTGCGGTCGAGATTGTAAAATAGATTAAGCAGAACTTCTCAACCTGATCTTCCCACTTTCTGCCTCACGAGGCTTGTGATTTCTGAGTAAACGTTGTCATAATGAGATTTTTTTCGACGCCGTATCCGATTCATGACGATACAGTTGTTGGTCCATACAGGCCACTTGTTTTGCGCAGATCCTGCAGTAACTATTTGATCTGGATCCAGAAGCTCAAAATTAACTGGACTCTTGGTATTCTACCAAATCCATACCATCGCTTTGGACTTTAATTATGACCTTGGGAATCGTCTTTGACTGTTCCAAACACCTCAACCACTGAAATTTTTGCCTTTGTGAACTGCTATCCGGGACCTACTTCCTACCCTTCACAAAGTCAGAGCTGAAAAAGCTGCTATTCTTCGAGTAACACAAAGGGATCCTGACATTAGTGACTCATGCCGCCTTGCCCGCGTGAGCTCGTGCGGCACACATGTCTTCGTTTTCTCAGTAGCCACCAAGTAGTTGATGATTGTTGTTCTCGTCTCAACCCAAGGAAGCAAACCAGCTTTCGTTTCGTCTGGCACGGATTTAACTTGACGGCTTGAGCTCAGCATTCATGTTTTCTGTCAAAAAGTCCTTCGTCTACGTATCAAAAAGGTTGGAACCACTCCCAGCACTGGCTTTGGGATATGACATTTATTCACAAGGCATTGTAGAGGTTTTGTCTGACATTGGCAACCATACTTTATTTGAAATCCTCCAGCAAGCGAGCGCATAGCTGGAATTTTTCGCTAGTCATTTGATGAAAATTTTTTGCCGCAAAACCCAATAGTCTCGCAATGACAGAATATCTAGTGATACACAAAAAAAGTTCTTCGAAATAAGCGCAAAAGCAATGTCTCTTACTGTATTTGAGAAAAAAGAAACCCAATACAACACACGTCCATAATCCTTCAACCTAATACTTACAACTACTAGATTTATATATGGTAAGCACAATGGGAAAACTACAGCGGAAAATTCATCAAATTACCACTATATTTATATATAGAGACAATTGACAGAATAAATTAGTAAAACTTTCCGAGTAGCAATGTAGCGATCACCTCTCAAACTCAGATTCCGTCTTTAAATTGCGGTATTTCCTACTATTCGCTTACAGTATACATGTACATATGTTGAATTAATTAAAAGTAGACAGATTCCAACAGATAAAATGTTTAACTTCATTAATGGTTCAAAAAACTGTATAAATGATAAAAGAAAAATTATTTAAATGTGAGCAACAGTTTCACAAATTTATCTTTTTAAAATAAAAAGCGTAGCGTTCAGCAAACTAAATTAATTTAGCAATCTTTAGCAGTAAAAACTGTCCTTAATAAGCTTAAACATAAAATTAATCCAACCGTCAAAAAATGACTAATAAATCTTCAAAACACAATTTATTGAGAACACAACGATTTATACATTATCATTAGGTGATGGCAGTTATAAAGAGTCATATCTCCTCCTATTCACTAGTACATGACTTAGTATCGAATCAAAACATCAACTGTTCCATGCAATTTTTTTCCGCCTAAGCTAACAGAAGTCGGTGTGAGAAGTCCTCAAAAAACGTTCACCATCACTTTCAACAGCAACGAGAATATACATTTATAATTATGGCTTTTTATATTATTAACTTCTTTAACAGCCATTTGGATGAAAAAAACCCAGACAGACTACACGGAACTGTTTGAAGTTTCGACCCATCTAAAACAAATTTATACTTCCAAAATCAATCAGTAGATTCATAGAATAGCTATCCTGACAAACATATAATAGAGCAAGAATTTGCGTATGTATAATCAATAAAAATGGATTTTATTGTATAAGTAGGCTTAAAGCAAGCACGTCTTAAAATGCACAAGTAAAACTGAGCAGGCTGTACGTCAAACCAGTAGAGAAACCAGCAAAACATTTATTGCAGTTGCTCTAAGGATATGAAACATCAGCAAATTTCTATGCAGATCCTATGCAAAAATAACGCTCAGATTTCGCCAATCCAAGCATAG